AAAAAAATTTTTTTTTGATTTTCGTTCATAAATGAACGTTCGGAACTTCAGGTACATAAAATGTTATTCAATTTTTAATATCTCTAATCATTTACTTATGATCATACTATAATTGAATTTTGAGAGTGTTCAATTAAATCACATATTTATAAAAATTAAAAATTGAAATTTTGGGTTAAATATTGAAGATATAACAAAATTATAAAAAACTTGTTTTATTAGAAAATTTAATCTTTTGTAAAAAAAGGTCATCAATTTTTTGATATCTCTTATAATTAAGTAATTTTGATATCAAAATTAAATTTTATATACAATTGATTAAATCATAGATTTAAAAAAATTAAAAATCAAAATTTTGAGTTAAATTTTAAAGATATAAATAAATTATAAGAGATTTTTTGTAGAAAATTTTATCCTCTATCCAAAAAGTCATCAATTGCACTTGCATTTATAATTTTTTAGAGCTTCTATAAATAGAATTTTTTAAATAAATTTTTCTTGCTGTAATTTATTAGTTAAAAAATTTCGAAGAAATCCCTGTCTTATAATTTTAGAGTCATTTTATGAAAATTAAGTTATTTATTATAAAATTCTTAAAATTATCAACTATATACTAAATTAATTTTTTTAGAATTTTATAGCAATTAAATCATTATAAAAAAATGTAATTAAAAAATTCCACATGTGAAAATTAATAAAAATTACAAGTGAAAATTTTTAGAAGCATTTTTTTATTATAATTGATATGTTAAAAAAATTTTCGAAATTGACAGCTGACGGCTAACTTCTGTATTATTTAAATTTCATAATTATTATTATGAAATTTATTATTATTATAATAATAAAGTTAGCCGACATTTTTGAATTGTTTAATTTTTTTAATTTATTAAATTATAATTCAAAAATTGCACTTATAGTTTTTGAAGTTTTTAAAAAATGAAAAATTTTTTTTTAATACCTAATTCTCTAATAAAAAAAATCATAAAATTTTTTAGATGTCAGCTCACTTTATTTTCATATTATTATTTAGTTTTAATTCAATAATTTAAAAAAAAATAAAAACTTTTGCTAACTTTATTATTATTACAATTTTATGCAAATAAAATAGTAAACACCTGGTTTGACTGGCTAACAGAGACACTCTGCGTGAATGAGAAGCACTAGACCCGGCGTAAAAATAATCCCGTTATAGCATCTTTAATTGAAACAAAATAACTTAAAAACTCTAATTTTTTAACTACTTCAAAAATAAAATCACCAAAAAATTATTTCTACAATTAAAAACAAAGAATTACATTTAAAAAAATGAATTTTAAACTAATAAATATTTAATAATCACTAAAATAATTATAAAAAATGTTAAATGAGCGTCAAAAATTTCTTATGAAGTAATTTAAAAAATAAAAAAAAAACTCACGGCTTTTATTTTAGTCCTTAAAGTCTCCCTGCGCCTAACTTTGGATTGATAATCACTTAAACACCTTAAATAATTATTTTCTCTGTTATTTTCTTTAATATCTTGAGCCAGCAGTCTCAAGCTTTTTCTCCGCGGCGCCATTTTGGTCAAACTGTCAGTTATACTTGTCGGTACAGTAGCAAAAATTTAAAAATAATATAATAGTATAATTATAAATAAAACTATAGTTACCTACACAAATTTAACACCCCATTAAATAATACTAAGGTTAGCCGATGTTCAAAAATTTTTCAACAATTAAATTGCAAGTAAAAAATACTTTAAAAAAATTGCACGTATAATTTTTCAAATTTTCTACATGTCAAATTATTTCTTTTAATTTTATTGCAACAATTTTATCAATAAAAATAATTATTATACAAATTTTCAGATGTCGGCTAATTAAAATTAGTTAATTAATTAATTTTCAATGAAAATTAAGTTAGCTGACATCTAAAAATTAAAGAAAATTATTAAAAAATAATAATAAAAATTTTCATTTGTACAAAACATGAAAAACAATAAGTGCAATTTTTTAATAATGTTTTTTAGTTTTAATTTAATAAATGAAAAATAATCAAGAAATTACAAACGACGGCTAACTATGAAAATTAAGTTAGCCGACACTCAAAAATTTTTGATTTTTTTTTTAATTAAAAATTAGAACTAAAAAACTATTTTTAAAAAATTCCACGGATAATTTTTAAAATTATCTACATGTGAAAATTCTTGTTTTAATTTTTTAAAAATTATTTTTCAATAAAATAAATTATCAAAATTTTTAAATGGCTAATTTAATTTTCATCGACTAACTTTAGTATTATTAATTTTTATCCTCATCAAAGGATTTTTGAAATCAAAATAACCTTAATCGATAGGTCTACGTTAGGTCTGTATAGGTCCACAATAGTTTTTGATAGGTCGTCTATAGTTTTTTAATAAATAATTTTTTAAATTTTGCAATAAAAAAATTACATCTTTAGCATTTCATTTAAATGGAAACTGATTAATCTTTCTATTTCTGTATTCTTTATCGTTAAGTCAGTATTGGTCTAAAGTTTTTGCTTTTACATTATTAATTTTTTATAATATTGATTTTTAGGTAGATTTCATAGAAATCAATCTTTTGCATTGGTCCTCATGTCGGAATTTACTCGGAATTTTTTCGTAATATCTCTTAACTAGTCGAGTAAAGCTCAAAAATAACGTTAGTTAAAAAATTTATATATATATGCAATATAACGCGGGATGTTGCCGCGATTGTGTCTACAATTCTTGACGGATCTAGATGAAATTTGTTATACATATTCTTTGGATAATAAACTTGAATGAGTTCGAAGAAGAGCGAAATCCTTCAATAAGTTTAGAAATGGCAGCTCTTTAAAATTATCAAAATAGTGAAAATCACGTTTTTGGTGACTTCATTGATGTATAACTTTTGATCGAAAAGAGATGGCTAATTTTTGATAAATTTATGTGAAAGTTCATGAAATTACCTTCAATTTGGCGTATATAACATTGACATTTTGACCATTTTTAGTTATTTTATCAAAGTTAAGAGTTCTATTAAAGCATTTTCAGGCAATGTGTAGTACAACCGACTTATGAATGTTATTCTGTCGAGAATTCTCAACAGATCCTTATGAAATTTAGTACAGAGATTCCTAGGACAATTAGCTTGCATGAGCCCTAAAATCAGCGAAATACTTCGATTAGTTCAGAAATAATAGCTCTTCAAAATGAGCAAAATAGTAAAAATTACGTTTTTGACGATTTCATTTATGCATAACTTTTAATCGCAAAAAGATAGCTGATTTTTGATAAATTCATGTGAAAGCTTATAAAATTCCTTCTAATTTGACATGTATACCGTTAACTTGTTGACAATTATTAGTTATTTTATCGAAGTTAAAAGTTCAATTGAACCATTTTCAGGCAATGTGTAATACAATCTACTTATGTATATATATTAAAATAAATTTCATTCCACGTAAAACGAAAGTTATTGAGACAAGATGATAATTGATTCTATGAAATCTACCTTCCATTTCGAATGTGGCCGAATGGTGACTTTTTTTAATTTTTAATTTATATTCAGAAATAATTATAAATAATTTAGTGTAGGTAAATTAGTTAAAAATTTTCCCGTATTACCGACTGGCAGTAGCGCTTTGCACTGATTGCAGTGACAGAAATCAGCTGGTCGACTGACGCGCCACTTTCTCTGCTCTTGTTTATTATCAAAATTATTATTATTATTATAATCATCATCATCGTTGTTGTTATTACATATCACTCCAACCTGTAAACCCACGTTTCTTATTTACACTCCTATTCACTCTAAATAAATTTAAAAAAAAAAAAAGAACAAAATATTTTATTTTAACATTCAGTGTTATTTTGTGAACAAGTGATGACATTTTATTAATTATATAAATAACTGCTAATTGCCCTCCAATTGTCACGTGACAGGTGAAATTAAGTGAAAGTGTCTAAAAATAATAAAAAAGAGGTAATTTATTTTTTATTTTATTTAATTGTTGTTTAATTATTTATGTTAAAATTTATTTTTTTTTAGAGATGGCGAGTATAGATCCTTTAATTAGAGGAGAGATCAAAGATTGGAGGAAAAATATTATCAATCAGCTGAGAAATAGAAATAAATCTCAAACTCGTTGTTTTGCTGATTTAATTTATTTGCGTAAGTATTTTTTTTTTTAATTCAAATTTTTAGAATTTTATTTATAATACTTTTAATAGAAAATTAAGTTAATAGATTTAGTGAGAAATGAATTATTGTAAGAAAAATTAAAAATAATTTTTTTGTTAAAAAAAATTAATCAATTGTCAAAAGCTAATTTTAATATTATTTACTAAAATCAGCTGATAATTGTCAATTTTTGTAATTTTTATGACAAATTAATAATAAAAGTGTTTTTTAATTTCTAGATGTAGAATTTTTTAATCAAAATTTTTTTATAATAATCTATATTATTAAGAAAATAAGAAAAATTTTGTCTCCGGGATATGTAATTAAGAAATTACCTTGTATCTTGTAAACTATTGACATTCTTAAAGATATAAGCTCATCTCGACATTACACTCATCGAGACCTTTTATTTGAGTACCCACATCAATTTTTCATATATTTATATATATTACATATATGTATATATAAAAAATATATGAAAAATGCAAGTGGGTACTCAAATGAAAGCTCTTGATGAGTGTAACATCGGGATGAGCTTATATCTTTAAAAATGTCAATAATTAAGAAATGACCTTGTATCTTGTGAAATATTGACATTTTTAAAGATATAAGCTCATCCTTACATTACGCTCGTCGAGACCTTCCATTTGAGTACCTACATCATTTTTTCATATATTTATATATTTTATATATATATGTATATATGAAATATATATCAACAATGCAAGTGGGTACTCAAATGAAAGCTTTTAATGAGTGTAACATCAGGATGAGTTTGTATCTTTAAAATCCTCAATATTAAACAAAGTACAGTGCAATTTAACACAGGCCATTATTTAATAAAGCAAAATTTTATTTACTTATAGTTACAGCAGTCACATAGTAACTGCAAGATTGCTAACTAAATTATAAAAATGCAAAAAATTCTCAGATGTTAATTTTTAGTATCATATTTTATTTTTGTATGTTAAAAAAAAAATAATTTATTTATTTAACTGGTCTAGACAACCGTTTATTTGAGAGCACCAACACTCTAAGAGGTGAAAATTTGCAACTGACAGTTGCAATAGAGAAGCTAAAGTGTGAAGTTGTTGGCACCGGGACTGGTACTGGAGCAAATGCAGCTCTGGAGGCGAGATTATTGGCACAAGCCGAGGAACTTACGATGCTGCATCGGAGACGGGGGGAACATACTCAGCAGATCGTCGATTTGAATAACAAGATGCAGGATATGATGAAGGATCTCCAGAGCAAGGAGTCCAGGTATTTTTTTTTAGGATAAAAAAAAAAATTAAATTGTATTCAATTTAACAGAATAATCTAGTAGTATAATTTTATTTTAGTGATGTTTATAATTATAAATAATTAATTATTGTTTGACAGCTTAGCAGAGAGTCTGGAATTAAACGCATCGCTGAGAGCTGAATTGAATACATGTGTAAATAGAGAACGTGAGCTAGCAGAAGCAAATCAGATGCTGAGAGACGAATACCAAGCGCTGCAATTAGCCTTTGCTTCGCTGGAGGAAAAATTACGTAAAGCTCAGGTTTGAGATTTAATTATCATTAGTTATCACTTTTAAAATAAATCAAGAGGATAAACAATATGTCAATTTTTTGCTTGATGTTCAATTAGATCTGTAAAAATTTATGATTATTTTATTCGATTATTTATATTATTAAGAAAGTGAGAAAAATTTTGTCTCCAGGATACATGAGTAAGAAATTAGCTTGCATTATGTGAACTATTGACATTTCTAAAGATATAAGCTCATTCCGATGTTATACTCATCGAGACCTTTCATTTGAGTACCCACATCAACTTTTCATATATTTTATATATTTATGTATATTATATATATGTATATATGAAAAATATATCAAAAATGCAAGTGGGTACTTAAATGAAAGCTCTTGATGAGTGTATCATCGGGATGAGCTTATATCTGTAAAATATATATTACATAATTAAGAAATGACCTTGTATCGTGTGAACTATTGACATTTTTAAAGATATAAGCTCATCCCGATATAATACTCATCAAGACCTTTCATTTGAGTACCCACATCAATTTTTTATATATTTCATATATTTTCATATATTATATATATGTATATATTAAAAATATATCAAAAATGCAAGTAGGTACTCAAACGAAAGCTCTTGATGTCTGTATCATCGGGATTAGCTTATATCTTTAAAAACGTCAATATTTAAAAAAGTACAGTGTAATTTAACAAAAGTCATTATTTCATTAAGTAAAATTTTATTTATTATAGTTTGCTATTTTCGGCAGTCACATAGTGACTGCAGGTTGCTAGTTGATAATTATTTAAAATAAAGAATTTTTATAATTTAATTTTTGAATTAAAAAAAATTAGTAAAAATAATAATTTAAAACTCGTATTAAATAAAAATATTTATTTCTAGGAGGAAAACCGACAATTAGTCGAGAGATTAATAAAATGCAAGACCAAAGACGCCGAAAAAATGAACGAGGAAAACGACAATTTTCTAAAGTGCGTAATAAAATAACTTTCTATGTATATTTTAATTTCTTAATTTCAGTCCTGGTTATAATATTTGTGATAGTTGCTTTTTTTTGTTTAATTAATTTAAACGTTACAATGGAAGACTCGGGACTACTTTTTTTTTTTTTTTACTACACACACGACGAAATTTATAATTTCAGCGAGGGATTTACCAGTCCGACGACATTTTTCATGCAAACAATATCAAAATTTGGGTGAGTAACGGACAAACAAAGAAAAACAGAAAACAATTGTCGAGTTAACGCTTCTGTTACTTTAATTAATTAAATTAATTATTAATTATTTAATTATTTTTTTTAATAAACTAATGCTTTTTGGGTACGTGAATGATCGATAGACCAGGTACTTATTTATGATAATTATTAATGGAATGTTAATTAACTTTTTAATGTACTCAATTAATATTCAATTGTATGATTGAACTTTTAATTAAAAAATTTGCATAAATTATTCAATTATTTTTAATTATTTTATTCATCAGCGTTAAATGCACACACAAAACTAATAATTAAAAGGCGAATGAAATTTTACAATAAAGCTTCTAAGAATTCATTTAATTTAAATAATAAATCATTAATAAAATAAACTAATTTTAAACATTATAGAGTCTTCCATACGTAACGTAACCCATTCATTTTTTAAATCATCAATAAACTAGCGACCGTGCAGTCACTATATGACTGCCGATACTTGTGAACTATAAATTAATAAAATTTTGCTCTTTAAATAATGATTTTTGTTAAATTGCACTGTACTTTCTTAAATATTGACGTTATTAAAGATATAAGCTCATTCCGATGTTACACTCATCGAGAGCTTTCATTTGAGTACCCACATGCATTTTTGATATATTTTTCACTTATACATATATATAATATATCCAAATATATAAATAATTGATGTGGGTACTCAAATGAAAGGTCTCGATGAGTATAACATCGGGATGAGCTTATGTCTTTAAAAATGTCAATAATTAACAAGATATAAGGTCATTTCTTAACTAATGACATTTTTCAAGATATAAGCTCATACTTACATTACACTCATCAAGAGCTTTTATTTGAGTACCCACTTGAATTTTTGATATATTTTTCATATATTTATATTTATAATATATATAAATATATGAAATATATGGTAAATTAATGTGGGTACTCAAATGAAAGGTCTCGATGAGTGTAATGACGGGGTTATCTTTAAAAATGTCAATGGTTCACAAGATACAAGGACATTTTCTTAATAAATGACATTTTTTAAGATATAAATTCATTTCGATGTTACACTCATCGAGACCTTTCATTTGAGTTACCACATCAATTATTTATATATTTGGATAAGATATAATTCATTTCGATGTTACACTCATCGAGACCTTTCATTTGAGTACCCACTTGCATTCTTGATATATTTTTCATATATAATATATATAAATATATTAAATATATAGAAAGTTGATGTGGGTACTCAAATGGAAGGTCTCAATAAGTGTAAAATGGGGGTGAGCTTATATCTTTAAAAATGTCAATAGTTTCCGAAATACAAGGTGATTTCTTAATTACTGACATTTTTAAGATATAAGCTCTTCTTCATGTTACACTCATCGAAATCTTTCATTTGACTACCCACTTGCATTTTTGATATATTTTTCATATATACATATATATAAATATATGAAATATATGAAAAATTGATGTGGGTACTCAAATGAAAGGTCTCGATGAGAGTATTGTCGGGATGAGCTTATATCTTTAAAAATGTCAATAGTTCACAAGTTACAAGGTCATTTCTTATTTATGTATCCTAGAGATAAAATTTTTCTTATTCTCTTAATAATATAGATAATTAATTTACTAATTCAGTTAAATAAATTAATTTCAGAAAGCGACAAGCAAAAGTACAAAAAGACCTGGAAGATGCAGCCCGGGATACCAGAGCAATAAGTCCAGAGCGGACTAATATCAAGGAGGGAATCCCGGGACTGCCTACTGCAGTACCAACAGACGTAGCCGTTAAATTTGTACGTTTTTTTAAATAAACTAACCTAATTACATGCCGGAAATTTATTTTATATAAAATTTAAACAAAAACCATCAGCATAGAATAATAACAAAGTTTTATGGGAGAAAATAAAAAAGTTCTCGCTGACTGTTAACTCATTAAAAGTCTTTATGATAATAGAGAGCAGAAGTAGAGTTTAGTTTAGTATGAGGATCGATATTATTATTATTATTGCAGAGTGCTCATGATGGTGAAGTTAGTGCTGTTAAATGGTCTCCAGTTGACAGGATATTGGCTACTGGTGGTGCTGATAGAAAAGTTAAACTTTGGGATATTTCAAAAGGTACCCATCTATTTTTATCTATTTTATACAACACTTTTTTTACTTTTATCATTATTCAATTTAGATGGTTAAACTTTGACAGAGGTGATCGATAGTTACTTTTTCACTTATACTTTTTTAAATTAATAAACTAAATTAAACCCGATACATTTTTGGTAATTATATTAATACCTTATTTTTCAGATAATTAAATCTTAATTTTTTTGCTTTATTAAATTTATTAAATAATTACTTTTGTTAAATTGCACTGTACTTTCTTAACTATTGACATTTTTAAAGATATAAGCTCACTCTAACATTACACTCATCGAAAGCTTTCATTTAAGTACTTACATGCATTTTTGATATATTTTTCATTTATACATATATATAACATATATTTTATAGATATAAGCTCATTCTGATGTTACACTCATCGAGAGCTTTCATTTGAGTACCCATATGCATTTTTGATATATTTTTCATATATACATATATATAAATATATCAAATATATGAAAAATTGATGTGGGTACTTAAATGAAAGGTCTCAGTGAGTGTAACATCATGATGAGCTTATATCTTAAAAAATTTCAATAGTTCTCAAGATACACGGTCATTTCTTAATAATGTAATGTATATAATATATATTTTGAAGATATAAGCCCATCCCGATGTTACACTCCTCAAGAGCTTTTATTTAAGTACCCACATGCATTTTTGATATATTTTTCATATATACATATATATATATATATATATATATATATATATATATATTATATATAAATATATGAAAAATTGATGTGGGTACTTAAATGAAAGGTCTCAGTGAGTGTAACATCATGATGAGCTTATATCTTAAAAAATTTCAATAGTTCTCAAGATACACGGTCATTTCTTAATAATGTAATGTATATAATATATATTTTGAAGATATAAGCCCATCCCGATGTTACACTCCTCAAGAGCTTTTATTTAAGTACCCACATGCATTTTTGATATATTTTTCATATATACATATATGTAATATATATAAATATATAAAATATATAAAAAATTGATGTGGGTACTCAAATGAAAGATCTCGATGAGTGTAACATCAGAATGAGCTTATATCTTTAAAAATGTCAATATTTCACAAGATACAAAATAATTTCTTAATTACGTATCTAAAGATAGATTTGTTATTTAATCATAAAAGATTCACTCGGGTTGATTAGTAATTTCTAATTAAACAAACCTTAAAAGAAAAAAAAAATTGATAAATTTCAGGAACATTCGAGAGCAAAGGAATGTTAATAGGAAGCAACGCTAGTGTAATGTCAGTGGATTTCGACTCGACAGGTACTTTAATCCTCGGAGCGTCGAACGACTTCGCCAGCCGAGTTTGGTCGGTGAATGATCTGCGTCTGAGGGTGAGTTTCTAAAAAATAATTAAAGAGATTTAGTTAATTAAAACAGGAACAACAAACAACGGTGCCCATTAGACATTTAGAAACAAAGTTCACTAATCCATTAGCTTAATTAGTTTAAATCTTGCGGTATGGAAGCTTTGACACACTACTCCAACGTGAACTTTACTGACAACTTTATGTAATTAATTAACTAGTTACTTTCGCGTGATAATTAATTTTTATTATCATCAAGAGTTTCTTAGCAAGTTGTGTTCTTTTTTAAACAATATCTGTAGAGTGCAAAGAGTAGAGGGCGTTTAATTGGTCTTACTGAGACATCAGATAGGTATTTTGGCCGTGAAACAACACATTCAAATGTAACCACACTCTGGTACTGACGGTGTAATATATAAACCCTGTTATATGGAAATATATGCATGTTTTTACTCGGGTTTTCCTCACCCCACAGCAGTTGTTGCTGAGAGCAGTACCGGTATCAGTAGCAGTAGCAGTAATAGTAGCAGCTTTACTGCTCGTGAGTACCTAATGTATTTTCACGTGACGTGTTTGTGCTTTGGGAATTACACCAACTTGATTTGAATACCTCGTTAATGTTTTTTTACTTATATTATTTGTCATGTTTTCCTTTTATTTATTTTTAGCTTGATAGATAAGCTTTTTAGACCAGACGCTTTCATTTAGGACCAGGAAAAAATTTATGGAAATTTATTTTACCAGCAGAATTTTGAATTTGGAAAAAAGGTTTAGAGCCAAGAAAATATTTTTCTTTCTAATTATTTTCTTGAGTAAAAATAATTTTTTTTTTGACAAGAAATTTCACTTATTTTAACAAAATTAATTCTCTTGCTTTAAAAAATACTTATCTTGATCCAAGTAAATTTATTGTGAAGAAAATCTTGTTGTTTGGAGAAAATTCAGCCTCGAGCTCCAAAAAATTGAATATAAAGATAGAAGTTAATTTTCATTAATAGTTTTATTGATCAACATGTCAAATGGCAAGATCAAATAATATTTCATCATTTTTTTTCATTCAATATGTATTATTGCACGGTAAAATAATATAAAATGGGTATCAATTATTCTCGAGAAAAATTTTCTCAAGGTGAGAAAATTTTTTTCTCAGCTGAAGTAAGTGGCGCTGCTTCCCTGAAGTATCTAAAAATCTCGATCAAATATAAAAATTTATTGTATCAAGTATTTATGATAAGAAAAAATGATTTCCACCAAGAATAGAATTTCTCGAAAAATTTTAACGTAAAGATTTTATTATTTTAAAATAATAATAATAATAAAGATGTTATTATTATTAAAATAATATTTATTATAATTTATTAAAATAATAATAATAAAGATGTTATTATTAGTTCAAATGAGTGATTTTCATGAAAATATAAACAATTTTGAATTGATTGAAGTGCAAAATAACAAAAATAATTGAATATTTATAATTTGACAACGTTTTTAAGATAGACTATGAAAGGAGTAGTAGTTGAACAATCAATTCTGACAAGCCGCAGTAGTTGAACACTCCGGGAGCAGTAGTTGAACTAATAAAGTATATGGCAATAGGCATACCAAAATTTTTTAATGTTTTATTGAAATATTCAAAGATTTATAATATATTATTGAATAATATTAAAAATAATACTGTGGATATTTAATATGTTCATTTAAAAATGATAAATATTTGTATTTAATTTATTAATTACATTTTTTATGAATGACAAAGTAAATTTTCAATTATAAATCAAAAAAACTCAATTCAAAACGTTCAATAATTTTTAACTATACTAATTTTTAGTTATAAAACTTATTTAATTTGCAGTAATTAATACAAATCACAATACTGATCACTAGTCTATAAACCTATAGAAGGTTAGAGTGCTGTTAAAATTATACGGTTTAAGCTTGTTGAAGTTCTGGGTACCGCTTTGAAAATTGGGCGATATAGTTGAACGCGAAAATTTAATATAAAAATTATAGTTTATGTCTTTGCAAAAAATATGTATCATTTAGAAAAGACTATTTCATTGGGTGGTACAATTTTTTTCACTCAAAATGATGATACACCGTTTTTTTTACTGATTGTTCGGCTTACGGTTTTGTGCCTTTTTCATGAAAAAAATATCATCTATCGGCTATTCTCGACATGTCTTTTAATAAATTATGAATGCGAATTAAAATAATTTTTTATAACAATTGTTTGGTTATAAAAATTACAAGAATTTTCAGATGTCTGCTAATTTCATTATCATTATAAACTAGCAATCTGCAGATGACATTAAATTTAGCTGTCACTTCACAATTCTTTAATTTTCTTTAACAAACAAATGTGTTCCAAAAAATTGCATTTTTTATTTATTAAAATTTATTCATGTCAATTTTTTTTCTAACTTTATTTGTCATAATTTATTTGTTAAAAAAATTCTTAAAATTATCAAATATCTGCTAAATTAATTTTCATAATCTGCAGTCATTGCGTGATTGCCGATATTTACGGATTGTGAATAAAAAAACTTTGATTTAATGATTTTTACACGCTTTTTATTAGTTTCACTTGTATGTCAGTATGTCAGTATGTAACTCTTCGTGGGTAATTTGCGCGCCTGCGGCCTTCCTTGGTTCTGGTAGCCGTTTCTCAGGCTCCCTCTCCGAAATCGAACTCTGATTCCCCGTATTTATAATATTTATAAATAATTATTTTATTCTCACTAATCAATAAATTACTTACTGAAAATTTAATTTAATAAAAATAATAATTTAATAATTTAATTAATTAATTATTTAATAATTCAATAAAAATAATAATTATAATAGTGTTAAAAATTTCAATAAATATAAATTAATAAAAGTGTAAATAAAAAATATGTATTTTATTTTAAAAAAAGCGTTGGGTGCTTTTTAAGATATTATCAAAATTATAATCACTCTACTCATATCTGTCAATAAAATATTTATAACTATTGACACCATGCACCCCACACTTTTTTTAAAACAAAATACATTTTTTTTATTTATACTATTATTAATTTATATTTATTGAAATTTTTAACACTATTCTTAATTTAAATTTATTAAAATTTATTTTCTATTTTTTAGTTTGGTTTTTTATAAAAAGCGTGTTTTTAGTTTTTTTAAACTATTATTTATTTTTTACTTTTTAGTTTGGTTTATTTATAAAAGCGTGATTTTTTAGTTTTTTTAAACTATTATAATTATTATTTTTATTGAATTATTAAATGATTAATTAATTAAATTATTATTTTTATTAAATTATTAAATTATTATTTTTATTAAATTAAATTTTCAGTGAGTAATTTATTGATTAGTGAGAATAAAATAATTATTTATAAATATTATAAATACGGGGAATCAGAGTTCGATTTCGGAGAGGGAGCCTGAGAAACGGCTACCAGAACCAAGGAAGGCCGCAGGCACGCAAATTACCCACGGAGAGTTACATACTGAATGACATACTGACATACTGACATACAAGTGAAGCTAATAAAAAGCGTGTAAAAAAATAGCATTTATCGGGGATTCTTGACATGTCAACTTTAAAGTTAACAAAAATGTAATTGTTTTGATTTATAATTGAAAAAACTTATCAAAATCAATTACTGTATCATTGAATAATTATAAAATGCGCATATGACTTATAATATATATACAGATTTTGTATTACAGCAATTCTAAAAGTCTGTTCAACTACTGGTCCCATTTTTAGAATTGTTCAAGTACTGGGTACTTTACCTTAACCAATAAAAATATTAATGAAAATTAACTTCTATCTTTATATTTAATTTTTTGGAGCAAGAGAAAAATTTTCTTAAGACAAGAAAATTAACTTCTATCAAGAACTAAATTTTTTGGAGCTCAAGGCTGAATTTTCTCAAAACAACAAGATTTTCTTGACTTAAATAAATTTTCTTGGATCAAGATACGTATTTCTTAAAGCAAGAGAATTAATTTTTTTGAAATAAGTCAAATTTCTTGTCAAAAAAAATTGTTTTACTCAAGAAAATAATTAGGAAGAAAAATATTTTCTTGGCTCAAGTCAACCTTCTTTTCTGTGGTTTTATTCAAAGTATAAAATAATTCTGATCAAGAACTGAACTATATAAAGTTTGTGCTGATAAACAACAAACCACTAGATAAAAATGATTAAACTTAAGAGTAACGTGTGGGTATGTATATATTAAATACATTGGGCGCCAATTAGTCTACGTGGTACGGAGACTAACGAAGGGCTTTAATAATATGAAGTTTCGGCTTAATTACCCTCTTGCAGCAACAGTAACTAACAAGTCTGCTTTCCAAAGCCCGAACCCAGAAGCTACTCTTGTGCTTCCTGCCTTATTATTATTATAATTATCATTATTATAGTTATTGTTGGTATAAATAATGCACCCGAGTTACTTTTATAATCTGGGGTGCAGTGTCTAGTTTTGGGTGTCGTAAGAATGATTAATTAAGACACCCAATTACTATTACTATTGCTACTACTGCACTAGACTCGTGGTTCAGTGATTAAATTACGCGGTTAGTCAAATAATTAACCTAGAGCAGGAGAAACCGAGGATAAGGTTGTATTGGTACGGATAGGAGCCCGAGCAGAGACTTTACCGATCAACATTCAACATGCAAAAAAAAAGGTATTAGCCTAAAAAATTCGCGATAAAGGGGCGGGGCTCCGAGTCCAGTACCCTCCTGGCATAAAAATAAGTCTCGGTTTTTTCTCTGGATCGCCTGGGTCGAATATATATCTATATATATTTATACATATATAGCATCACGAGGTCCGAGCCAAACCGTTCTTTCCTCTTCTCAGGAAACTTAGTTCGCCCGTTGAATCGTGACGAGAATTTGAATTGCGGTATTATCTGCAGCGCGATCAGCACTCTCAAAGTACCTTTACTATCAAATATATATGTATATATATATAGAAGGGTACTGTGCCCAGGAGAAAATAATCTCGATTTAAGTACGATGATTTACTTTTTTTTTAATCACTTTTTTACGGGCAGTC